TTCAGCCTGTTGTTCCTTAGCCAATAGCAAAACTGGCTCTTCTATTCTACTGTAATTACTAAGCTACTTCTACTTTTATTAATAAGCATTTTGTCTGTATTAGTCAGCCTTCTGTCTGTTTTACTAATGTATTGGTAAGCTATTACTAATGTTTGTTAGAGTATTACTATATTTTGGTAATTCATAGCTGTTGAGCATAGACCTTTACTAAGCATAGTTTCTAGATTACTAAGAAGCTGAGTCATATTATTAGTCATTGATTCACTTTTAATAAGCTTAAGTGTTTATGCTTACTTTGCAGCTCTGAGTAAGCGGTTTCTTTTTGATTTGAATACCTATTATTCCTTTAGTTTTCCTATACTTATAGTTATAGTGCATGACAGCGCGTAGCAGGAGGACGATGGCCTCGGGGGCTCTATCGTAGCACTGTTCGCATCAGTAGTGTTAATGTAGCACAACTATTGCCAGTTGGTATATAAATTTTATAACACACTTATTTCCTGTGAAGCCAAGGTACATAACACAGCAGGACAAAATCTGACAGTCGTGTGTAAGGATTGACATAGAAGCATGTGCAGGCAGCAGGATTCAGCACGTTCTCTTGGGTCCATGTCTGGTTAATAGCCCGCCCCCAGTTTGGAATCAAATGGCATGACCTTATGAGAGCAGTGATAGGAATCACAGATGCGCTGCGCTCATGGTTAGATGTTGATACGCCAACTGAATACATACCTGAGACTTCATCGTGCATATTCAGTGGAGTGTACCACTGAACAAACACGAGAAGCTCAGGTACAAGGTCACGGAACACATCGGGAGCACGAAAGATGACGCGCACTTGCCCGATCGAAAGGCCTAGCACTCAAGATGGTAAGAAAATATTATACGCGAACCAGAAAGACGACACACCATGCAAAGGCGAACACCCCGATAGACCAGTCGTCTGAGATGACCATCGGTGAGCTAAGACCGTCGAGAACACTGCGGGCATGGCGTTGATCTCCGTGCCTCTGAGGCTCTCAGAAGCTCTGGGGACTGCTTGGATGGTGTCCCACTCTAAGCTATCAGCTGTCGAGACCTGCGCCATGGCGGGTAATCAAAGCTTCAGCTGCTTGTACACGGGAACTCCAGTTTTCGTGCTGATTTTCTTGATCTCCGCTATCGTAGACTGGGGGACAAGCTGAGTTGCAGAGCGAGCGCGTTCCGTGAGAAAGGCCTCGAGATGCCACGAGAAGTTGCGAGTGCCGTAAGATTTTGCGATGGCACCAGCAAAGAGTAGCGGATATGGAGGTTTCTTTGCAACCTTGAACTGGACGCTGGTTGTCTCGGCTCGTGCGATGCCTTCCTCTTCGTCTTCCGCATCCTTCAGCTCCTTCTCTCTCTGTTCAAGGTCTTCATCTTCATCGCCGCTATCCATATGATTCTTGCTGGTCGCTTTGGATCAAACAAGCCCTGGAAGTTGCAGCCAATGTAGATAGGCATCGAAGCGAATGGCGGCTTCCTGATGATCGAGCCAGGTCGTCATCTGGCCAAAGTAATTCCTATGGTTGCTTGCGCGGTAATCCAACTTAGCAAAATCGATGTGCAGACGCTCTGGGCCCTCTGTATTGTATCTGTCTGCGGTGCCAAGCAGACGGATCGACTGGATGTAGTGATCCATCCTGTGAAGCTTCGGGATGCCGCTGAAATTCGCATAGTTCGCCGGCATCGCCTGCTTGGCATTGTAGTAAGTAATGAACGCGTACTTGTATATGTGGAACTGCCGCCATGCCACTTTGAGAGCCTCTAAAGATGTAGTTGTGTGAGTTTCAAACTGGGCGTAGTGGATAAAGTATAAGAGTCCACGGACGGCGCGCATCACGTCCTCATGTACGGAGCCAGCAAGCACACCGAGGAAGACCTTTTCCATGTTCTTGTACTCGGTTCCCGTCCACTGGAACACGAGCGAGATGCCCTTCTTGAAGTGCCGAATCTCTGAGTGCATTGGCATGGCTGCAAACCGACGATCTAGCTCATCATCGCCTCCCGCTACACAGTTCATCGCCCATTTCACAGTGTGGTCCTTGAACATGCCTTTGTGCAGCTGATGCAAAATGTCTGGCATGATGCAGGAGAAGATGTCGCAGTGCGGGAGGTCCAACCAGAAAGGCAAAATAGGCCGCAATCCGGCGTCGTTAAAGCCCGCA